TTCCCCAACTAATTTCAAGGTCTGACGATTCGTGATTATTTTAGATCTGTCTCTGTGAACTGGAGCTGTAATTGACAATGGTGTTGCTATCTATGTGCTACAGGTTCTTGCTCTTAAGCACCATACTTCTAAATTGGAGGATTTCACTGATCTTTTGAATTTGACTACTTATGGTTTTAGAGGAGAAGCCTTGAGCTCTCTCTGTGCCTTGGGGAATCTCACGGTGGAAACAAGAACAAAGAATGAGCCTGTTGCTACGCTCTTGACTTTTGATCATTCTGGTTTGCTGACTGCTGAAAAGAAGACTGCACGCCAAATCGGTACCACTGTCACTGTGAGGAAGCTGTTCTCTAATTTACCTGTCCGCAGCAAAGAGTTTAAGCGCAATATACGCAAAGAGTATGGAAAGCTTGTATCTTTATTGAACGTGAGTTTCTTACTCATATCTTTGTTATTCACACTTTTCTGGATCATAAAGTTTTTTTTTTTGTCTTTTGAGTACTTCAATGGTCACTAAACTTCTTTGTTATTCACAATTGTCTGGATCATAAAGTTTTTCTTCCTGATTTTTTCAATCGTCACTTCATTTCTACTGTCTGATATTATACATTCCTTGTTGGAATGACATTGACTTTCAAAAGTTTTCTATTCTATCTTCAATGTGGATGGTTGCTCAATTACTTCTTTAATGACTTTCCTCCTGTTATTCCCTTTATGCAGGCATATGCACTTATTGCGAAAGGAGTGCGGTTTGTGTGCTCTAACACGACTGGGAAAAACCCGAAGTCTGTTGTGCTGAACACACAAGGCAGGGGTTCACTTAAAGACAATATCATAACAGTGTTCGGCATGAGCACCTTTACAAGTCTACAGCCTGTGAGTATATCTATATCAGATGATAGTAGAGTTGAAGGGTTTCTTTCCAAGCCTGGACAGGGTACTGGACGCAATTTGGCAGATCGACAGTATTTCTTTATAAATGGCCGGCCTGTAGATATGCCGAAAGTCAGCAAATTGGTGAATGAGTTATACAAAGATACAAGTTCTAGGAAATATCCAGTTGCCATTCTTGATTTTATTGTTCCTGGTGGAGCATGTGATTTGAATGTCACGCCTGATAAAAGAAAGGTGTTCTTCGCTGATGAGACTTCTGTTATCGGTTCTCTGCGGGAAGGTCTGAACAAGATATATTCTTCTAGAAATGCATCTTATACTGTAAATAGGTTTGAGGAGAATTCCGAGCAACCAGACAAGGCTGGAGTTTCATCTCTTCAGGAGAAATCAAGTCTCCTGTCCAAAGAGATTGTTCTGGATGTCGGCTCCAAAACCAGACAAGGGGAAGTTAATGAAAAGGAACTTTCTTTCTCAAGGGATGCTGAGATTGATAATAGTTCGACAATGGAGAAGTTTAAATTTGACATTAAGGCACAGGGAACTAAGAAAGGGGAAGGTTCTTTATCAGTCCATGGTGAGTCCCTAACTGTAGCTCATCTTGACACGACAACTAGGAAAGATTTGCCTCATCTTAATGTCAGTGAGAAAGTTACTGATGCAAGTAAACACTCAAGCAGTCACTCTAGCTTTGCCCAGTCAACTTTGAATACTTTTGTTACTGTGGGAAAAAGAAAACATGAAAACATAAGCACCATCCTCTCCGAAACACCTGTCCTCAGAAACCAAACCTCTAGTTGTCGTGTAGAGAAAAGCAGATTTGAAGTTCGTGCGTTAGCTGCAAGATGTCTGAAGGAAAGCGATCAGGTTGATGTTATGATCCTCTCTAAGGAAGATATGATGCCGAACCAAAAGGATTCTGAGTTAGAAAATCGGATTTTTCCTGGAATCGATACTGATAATGTTGAAAGACATGAAAGAGTAAGTAGGCTTTTGTACTCAAATCAATGTTGCTAATCGTTTATATTTAATGTGCGTATATCTTTGGTTACAGTATCTCCTAGAATTAAATGTTATTCAACCACTTTTTCATCTACAGGAACATGAACAGCCATTATGTTTTGAAGAACTAACATCAGATAAAACACATCCCAAGGGGAATATGGAAAAGATTTTGGAAGACAATCCTTGTTGCAGTCAGCCACTGCGATCTGTTACCACAGTGCTGGACTCCCCAGCTCAGACAACCGGTCCAAAAAAGTTTTCCACATTACAGTTTAGTTTTCAAAACCTTAGGAAGAGGAGACTAGAAAAGCTGCTGAGATTACAGTCCACAGGTTATGTATCTAAATGTATGAACACACCACAGCCTAGAAAGTAAGATTTCTTTCCTTCATCTTTAAGTGTTCTGTATCCAGTTTGAGAAATAGGATGCTTTAAAATGACAAGTTACAGGTGCTTCGCTGCTGCAACATTAGAGTTATCTCAACCGGATGATGAAGAGCGAAAAGCAAGGGCATTAGCTGCAGCCACTTCTGAGCTGGAGAGGCTTTTCCGAAAAGAGGATTTCAGGAGAATGCAGGTAGCAATCTTTGTTACTAAGACATATTTCAGCATCGAAGATAGATTCTTTCTTTTTCGTTCTGCTCTATCCTGGTCTCTGTTGAGAAAGATTTATCTGTTTGTTCTTTGTGATAGGTACTTGGGCAATTTAATCTTGGTTTCATCATTGCAAAATTGGAGCGAGATCTGTTCATCGTGGATCAGGTGACTCTTCGTATATGAATGCTTCCAGGCCTTTTTTTCCTCCTTCGATTTGTTTAGTTTTTAGTTGAGTTGTGGAAAAATGTAAGTTTCTATCATTTCAGAGTTTCTTCCCTAATCTGAATTTTAAATAACTGGAGTAGAGTAATGATTGACTTTTATGACCAGCATGCAGCCGATGAGAAATTCAACTTCGAACATTTAGCAAGGTCAACCGTCCTTAACCAGCAACCCTTACTCCAGTGAGTTGCTTTGTGAAATCAATCTAGACTCTTGATTCCATTTTACTGCGTTCACATTTTCACAGTAACGTTTCTTAGGTCCTATGTTGCTTAAGTACTTACACCAATAGTAGCATCTCTTGTCTACTACTTTATACCTATATTTATTCATTTTTGCCAAACATCAGGCCTTTGAACTTGGAACTCTCTCCAGAAGAAGAAGTTACAGTTTTAATGCACATAAATATCATCAGGTGGAGGATCACTATTATGTACTTAGTAACCTTTTCTTATTCTTGACATTGGTTTAGAAATTTAATATAAGTATAATTACTCTCTAGGGAAAATGGCTTTCTTCTAGAGGAGAATCCGAGTGCTCCACCCGGAAAACACTTTAGACTAAGGGCCGTTCCTTATAGCAAGAATATCACCTTTGGTGTGGAAGGTTGTAGTTTTTTTCCTTAGTTATGTTACATCAAATGTTTTTTGCAGACAATTTTATTTACTTTATTGTTTAGAGCAGATCTTAAAGACCTGATTTCTACTCTGGGAGATAACCACGGGGAATGTTCAGTTGTCAGTAGCTACAAAACCAATAAAACGGATTCAATTTGTCCATCACGAGTCCGTGCAATGCTAGCATCCCGAGCATGCAGATCGTCCGTGATGATTGGGGATCCACTTAGAAAAAATGAAATGCAGAAGGTAGTCAATCTTTACCCTAAGATAACAACAATGTCATTGTTGGTCATAGAATCATCTTAATTAAACTCAACTCGAATAGTCGAACTTTCAGCATTCTTATGTGTATTTTCTGTTAAATGTCTCAATTCATCTTCTGTATAACAAAGATAATGCTTTTGTCATTTGTATATTGTCAGATAGTCGAACACTTAGCAGATTTGGAATCTCCTTGGAACTGCCCACACGGACGACCAACAATGCGGCATCTTGTCGACTTGACAACTCTACTCAAATTACCTGATGACAACAATGACGATGATGATGATGTTGCAGCCATGTCATTGACATGAACTCAATAGTCTTTAACGTATTTAGATGATGCGAGCATCCTTAGAAGTAACATTAAGGAGGACCACTCAGGTTGGTTCTAAACTACAAAAATTTGTAAATGTAACATGTTGCCCTAGTCTTTATAATCTTCTTGGTCACAACAGGAGATTTTGGGTGATTTCTTGAGGGGTTAGCTTGATCATTTTGAAAGTTTCCATGGTTTAATGTAAAAATTAATTATCCAAAGACATGTACAGTAAAACCTCTATAAATTAATAATGTTGGGACCATGGAAATCTATTAATTTATAGAGGTATTAATTTATCGATAAATTAATAATTATTAATTTATAGAGAGATATTCCTAATTTGGAAAATATTTTCAAAACAATATTTAGAAATAAGATTTAATCATGATAACTAGTATTTTATATATTCAATTATAAATAAAATAATAATAATTATGTATTAAAAGAGAATGCTAACTATTTTTCATATAGTAAAATATTAAAAATAAAATCTAACAAAAACTAATGTGTCTATATATACATTTATTTTGAAAATTTTACCTAATTATTAATTTATAATATTGATGGGACCATATATTTACAAAGGATTTTCTAAAAAATTATTATCTTATTATTATATCGAAATATGTCTAAAATTACACTTGTCCCAACTTGGGATCGGAGAAATTTATTAATTTATAGAGATTATTAATTTATCGAGTATTAATTTATAGAGGTTTTACTGTATGTAAATTAGCTAACACCTTAACAACCTAATCTAAAAAACCATTTTCTTTTGATTATTTTTCGTGATAAAAATTAAATTAAAAATTTGATTACATGATTTTCAAAAGATATTTTTAAATTTGAGCTAAAAGAAAAAAGAAAAAATGATTAAATGATTCAGAAGAAGTGAGTCCACCCAAACCCTAAATTGAAACCGTTCCATCGTAACCGTTGAAGTGTAAAGAAAGAAGCGCAGCTTTCCAACATGTCACCGTTGAGATCCTTTGTGACCCACATAACTACTATACACTAGCTTGTAGAGGATAAGCGCTTCGAGCACTATAACACAATCTATGCGGAGCAACTAAAGGGGAAGTCTTTCTCTCTCGATCAAGCCAAGTCTAATAAAAATCTAATCTTTGCGTCACCGTTTGTGTTCTCTCTCTCTCTCACTCTAGGGTTCTTCTTCTACAGCTTCTCAAGTAAACATGAGGTAATTACTGAGAAATCCTTTTCATCACTCTAATCTCACTGGCATCCTTACCCAACTCTTCCCTTTGATAAATCGCGCTTCTCAGATTCATTTTTGTGTGTTTTTTTTGTTGTTGCTTTGTTTCACTTCAAAATTTCATTCTTTACTCGTGGATTTGTCTTGGAAACTTGGTTTCTTTGTAGTATCGGTTGATTTAGGGCTACGCTTTCACTGGATTCCTGAGGATTGGGGGAAAAAATTAGGGTTTTTAATCGGGGTCTAGGGTTTATTGTGTTTGGGTCCGGAAGTTCTCTTTACATTGTCCCCATCAATTGTATATGGCTACTAAATGTATTTGCATCGATCTCCTCTTGTTTATGCCTGAAGCTTAGAGCAGTTGGATTTAGGGTTTAGGGTTTATGTTTGCGTTATAAATGTGATTGAAGACATATTTGTCTTAATGATGTTTCAGTTTTCAGTGTTGTTTCGTGCCTTAGATTTGTATATATATTTGGTGTTTCTCTTTTTTGTTATGTTGGCTATGCTTTTGAATTTTGAGGTGTTTGTTTTTTATGTATTTTACAGTCGTCATCCTGAAGTGAAGTGGGCTGAGACTACCGATAAGATTTTCCTCACTGTAGTTCTAGCAGATACTAAGGACACAAAGGTTAATCTAGCCCCAGAAGGAGTCTTTGATTTCTCTGCTAAAGTTGGTCCAGAAAACCATGTTTATGAGCTTAAACTGGAACTTCACGATAAAGTCAATGTTGAGGTGAGATTCGTAGACCAACTTTGGTCTCGTTCTTTCATTTCTAACCTGCTTGGTTCTAAATTTTTAATCTTTTCTCCTTCTTTTTGTTCTCTTCAGGAAAGCAAGATCAACGTTGGAGAAAGAAGCATTTTCTGCATAATAGAGAAAGCAGAGCCGGAAAGGTGGAACAAACTACTCCGTGTCGGAAAGCCACCACACTACGTCAAAGTGGATTGGGACAAATGGGTTGATGAGGACGATGAAGGCAGCGCTGGTTAGCATTCTTCTTAAAGCTAATAGTTATATATCTATTCTTCTGTATACTATCTGCTCGTTATTTAAAAGTTAGGATGTGTCAACTTTTGTGTTCTTTTGTTTTGTTTTAGGTGCTGCAGATATGGATATGGGAGGAATGGGTGGAATGGGAGGAATGGGTGGAATGGGAGGAATGGAAGGAATGGATTTCTCAGTATGTTTCTAATTTGTGATCATTGCCTTATGCTTCATATTTACTTAGCTTTGAGAAATGGCTTCACGATCATTCTTGTTTCTCGCAGAAATTCGGTGGAATGGGCGGAATGGGCGGACTTGAAGGGCTCGGTGGTATGGCTGGACTTGAAGGACTTGGCGGCATGGGAGGAATGGGAGGCATGGGCGGTATGGGAGGAATGGGAGGCATGGGCGGTATGGGTGGAATGGAAGAGTTTGAAGACAGCGATGATGAAGGTAAGAGTTTCGGAAATATATTTAGTTCAGCATCTTCTTGATGAAATGAGAGCATTTCTCCCCGTTAGATGTTATTCAAGTATCTCATAGAGTTGAATGATTTTGTTATTCAGGTATCTCATATTCCAGTTTAGATATTAAGTACTCTTTGTTTGGAAACATTTTTTTGCCGACTTTGTGTTTCTTTGTTCCTGTGATGAAAACTGAAACATGTTTTGTAATTGCAGAAGAAACAGCGAAATCAGGAGACAAGAAAGATGACGCTGGAAAGGTGGAAGCTCCTGCGACGGAGAAGGCACCAGCAGAAGAACAAACAACATCTGTGAAGGAAGACAAGTGAAGACACAGTGAGGTCTAGAGATGAAACCATATGGTATTAGTAGCTTTGAGGCTTATGAAACCTTCTGAATTACTTGCTTTTTATAAGAATGTTGTTACTCTGCTTTCTTTCTTTGGATTTCTCATCGGTTGAAGTTTCTGCATTTTGTGGTGGTTATATGGTTTCCAAACATTTTGGCTTTTGACATTAGAGTTTGTTTAGGCAGTCTTTATATTATATGTCTAATTGCCGAGCCAATCCTACCCATCTTTTTTAACAGATTCAGCACAAGTTTTCCAAATAATTAGAGTAGTACACAATAGAAGGAATCATGAATATCATTAGTACAGCTTTGTGCTGAGCCAATAAGATTTAAGTTTTTATTGGTTTAATAATTATATGAAAACATTTGAAACAAGACGAATCAGAAAGAGCTTCAAGTCAAACCAGAAGTTGAAACACAAATGATCATACAATTCTTACAAACATGAAACAATCTGAAAGCAAATAGAACAAGAGTAATGAAAAGCCCTCTGGTCTCAAGTGTAGAGAGGTAAACTAGTCCAAGCACCAGAGACATGACCATTCTCACAAACATAAGCTCTCACAACTGGTTCACCATCATCGTGAAACCCATAGACTCTTCTCAAACAAAACGAAGAATGCAAATCCCAAGTCTCGTCGCACAAGCAGAAGGCGCATTTCAAACCGGAGATCTTACTGCGGTTACCGTCGTTAATCGTTCTCCAGACTCGGGAGCGTTTGAAGTCTTTGAAAACGCCTCTGAACAACATGTAGTTGCGTTTCTCTTCAACGTGAATACATCCAGGCCAATTGCAAATGTAGAGACAGTCACCTCGGAATCTACTCGCGAGAAGCTTGTTGCCTTGTTCACGGCTAAGGTTCCAAGCTCCCGAAGCCAAATGAGATCCAAAAGATCGGCAAATCTTCCTTCGTTTCCTCACCGGAAGATCACGTCCTGGTCTTATCTCACTCGTCTCGATTTCTTCTTCTTGCTCTTCGGTTGAATCTTGGGGAGGAGCCGAGAGAGTATCAGCGTAGAGATCGTCATAGAGAGACCAAAACGAAGTCGTTTCAAAACCAGATCCGACCGGTTTCGAAACTTCTCCGTCGTCAAGAGCTGGATCCGTCAGCCTAGGTTTAAGATCGAGGCTTTGATCGGGACCTAGCTCACGTTCAAGACCGAAATCGGAGTTTTCGAGGAGAATCCCGGCGTGGAAGGGACCAGGACAACAGACGGCGAGTTTGTAGAGAGAAGCCCAAGCACCAGGAGGAGGAGGAAGGGATGAAGAATTAGGAAGGAGATCGGAGATGACGGTGGGGATAGCTGAATAGCACTGTGTTTTCCAGCAAACGTTTCGTACAATAGAGGAGAATCTGGTGCAGACGCATGCGAGACGAGCCCAGTTTCTTGGATCGTCTTGGAGCTTGAAGAAGATGTTGAAGACTACGTCCTCTGGTACTAGAGAGAATACAGAATCAGCCATGGCGCTCTCTCCCTATCTCTCTCTTCTCTCTCTCTCTCACAACCTCTGATTTTTAATTAATGGCGGTCACTTTTTCTTATCCAATCTTCTCTTTCACTTATTTTTGTAGATACAGTTATCGTTCCGGTACGAGTTAACCGGGAATTGCATTAACTGTTTTAGGTGTCTGTGGATCACACATTCATTCACTGACAGTCTCACACTAACACACAATTAATGCGCAACAGCTTCCCCCGAATAAGACATCGTACGGAGAGGACTTTGGATTTGTTGGAAGGGTCGGGGTATCAAACTCTGTTCAATGTTATCTCTTTTCAATTGTAAAAATAACATGTTCAATATGTTTTCCAACAAGAATTAACAGAAATGACAGTATCTAATTCTGTTGTGAGTTTTTTAATTCAATTAGGCAGTACTGGACACTAGTTTTTGATATTTCATCACCGGTGATGACGGAGTTAACTAATTTTGTTGTTTCTAAGCGAGCAATAATACAAGGCAATAATAACGATATATTTTATATAAGAATTCACAACACATTGTTGCACATTATACTTGAGAAAATAATAAAAGAGACTTAAAATCTCATGAGGTACCCCGAGAAATACAACTAGTTTTCAGCTTATCATTACTTGTTTTAGTCACGGAAACAAGACATCTTTAGGAGAATCTTCCAACAAACCTTTGTTTACCTGATTATGAGATACTACTTCATTACCTGTTATACAGTTGGAGAGAGATTCAGACAAAAGAGCGATAATGTTCCAAACAAAAGTGAAAACGAATGTGTGAATTACCGAGATGGGCTCCTGCTTCTGCTCTTGCTCCTTCCACGGATAGGGCTCTTCGCTGGGCTAGGGCTCTTGCTTGATTCTTTCTTAACCTCCTGCACACCACAAGTTTCAAGATGATGAGTATAGTTAGCTAGACACAGATCTTGCATTTTTCAAATGCCACTGTATAGATCAAAAACCGATAATATTGTGCTGATAGTACAGCAGAGTGAAAAGTGTATAAAAATAGATAACTTACAGAAGGTAGAGGAGATCTTGACCTTGAACGAGATCTGCAAAAGTCCGAGAAAACAAATCCAGTTTTAAAAATCCAATATTTTCCGTGTTTAATAGCTGTTTCACCAAGACCCTTGATGCCTCATTCCATGTCAGACATCAAAATGTTATCACAAGAAAGCCACACACAAACAAAAAAGATAACTTCAAACGATTCCTAGTAGAACATAAAACCACCACACACATGCATTTCGTTAAAACAGAGAGCAAAGATGGGCTGAATCAAAGCAAATCTAATTCTATCAAACCCTGTGGTCCAGAACAGCATCGGTTCCATGAGAATCCAGATCGCTTGTCCAATAGCAGGTAATGAAAATATCTTTCCTAGCTTGATGGATCCATTTTGATGACACTATATCAATGCGATCCAATGTCTCCACTGTTACCCATCTAGCAGCAATGGATATTATCAGAAAACGAGGACAAAAGAAAGGTCCAATTCCAAACTTGCCCATCTAAGAAAGAGCATATACCTCTGAGACGAAACAGTTGTGTACAACCAACCAAGATATCCATGATCCAGATACTATTTCCCTTATTTTACTTGATTGTATGTATATCCATATCTAGGAAACAAAACCAATCTCAACAATAAAAGACCACACTATTAAAAGGAAATAAATCGTGCCCTTAACTAGAACCAATCATCATTCTAAACTAACAACCTTAAGTCAACCCAATGACGTCTTTTATATGAGATCTCAGCAAACTTCAAGGGAAGAGCTAAATAAAGCCTATGCTATATTTTATGTTGGATATTTAGCATAAACATTAAAGAAGAAATGCAGCATACCCTCGAGGAGACAGTGACCTTGACTTGGAGCGGGAGAGCGAGCGGGAGCAAGGAGATCTCGATGTAGATTTTGCAGGTGATCTACGCGACGATTTAGCCTTTGGACTTCTGCTCTTGCTCCTGCTTCTGCTGCGGCTACGACTACGGCTGATGCTCCGTCCACGGCTACGGCTGCGGCTACGGCTCTTGGAATAGGATCTTCCACGGCTGGGGCTCCTTGAATCCCTCCTAGAATCATATTCTCTAACCTATTATGATATATGGAAATGTTAGTACAATAAAAAAAAAAAAAGGAATGCAGCTCATAATCCTTGTCTTTAACATACCCGAACATATCCATGAGAAAACGCATTCCGAAACTCTGTGTCGTCAAGCTTTTTTACCTGTACAAAATGATAAATATACTCATGAGTAATCAAGGATGAGCAAATTCTCACCCACACAAATAATCAAAGAATACGAACAAAAAGAACATCTCACCGCATACTTCATGTCCTCGTAACTGGTATAATCTACGATACCAGTTGTACCTGAATACAAATAGTCCAAAATATAGATTCTAAATCAGGCCACAGACTAGTTCAAGCAGGATTTAAATGCAGAAAATACAAATAGCTTTAGAGACATCTCTATTCTCAGGTAAGATATGAGGACTCACCTCTACCATCACGGAACACTTGAGAGAAACAGACTTCTCCTCCTTTACGCATGTGATCCTACAAAAAATAGCGACCATGTTAAGATTCAGAATCTTCAAAAATAAAAGAACTACAGCGAGGAACTGTTCCACAATTGTATAGTCACCTTAAGGTCTTGCCAGGAAGCAGATGAAGGCAAACCTGACACTACAACTGCACAATTGAAGATATAATATTCAGAGGCTACTCCTAAAAATTAGATTATACAGTAAATCCTAAACATATCATATGTACCGCGGTACTCGGATCTCCTAGATTGTCCACGCCCACGACCACCGTCACCACCATCACGACTGCCACGACCACCACCACCACTGTAACTACCACGAGCATCATGTGATGAACGCCTCCCACCATGAGCTAGTTCCACCTGCAAATGGCCAACACACATCCATTATATATGGCTACCAGTCAACAATACAAAGTTAAGAGTTAAAATTCTGAAATGTGATGATTGACAAACCCGTAAACGATGCCCATCAAAGTCATAACCATCACGGCCATAAATTGCATCGTCAGCATCCCGAGCATCCTCAAACTAAAGCACGCATACCATAAAATAAATAAAGTGGTCGAGAGCAATTGAACAACTCATAAACACTGAACAAGGATTTGACAATCAAGACACAAACTAATCATCGACAAGGCTCATTTATAAAAAAGCTGACCTCGACGAATGCATAGCCAGGAGGCCTCGGGGGAATCTTCAAATCGATTTGAACAACAGGTCCATACTGCAAAAAAACGGAAGAAATATTATTTGGGAAACTTTTTCCAAACAAATCACAAAGCCAACATATTATAATATCTTTCACATATTAAACTTGTGACATCTTGATCCAAACGAACAAGAAACACACAATAAACCGCAGACAAAACTAACAAAATCGTTCAAGATAAACACAATTACAATAATTAATTGAAGAAACGAGTGATTTTTACCTTACTGAACAAATCTTCAACTTCTCTTTCGCGGATATCGCCGGGAAGGTTTCCGACGTAAATAGTTCTACTCGAACGGCTGCTCATTTTTTCCTAATTACAGAAAATTCAAAATTGAGATTCGACACATCAATAGATCGAAACGAATAAGCGATCACTCACAATGAACATAAGAAGACCAGCAGGAAATTTTTTTAAAAAAAAACCCTAAAATTATGGAGACTTGATTGATCGTCTATAATTGAATTAAATTACCGATCACCTGAGTGAAAATTCCGGTAGAAGAGAAGAAGAAGAAGAAGAGGCGAAGAGACTCACCTGAATGAAATTGAGATCTGGGCTCTAGGGTTTTCTAATAGACGAGCGAGAGAACGAGAGAAAGATTAAGAGGGGTGTATTGAAAGTAGAATTCTAGAGGATTTTGGATTTTTTTTAAAATTCCCTGTTATTCAACTAGTGATTTTTAAATCACTTTTCAAATCCACTGTTATTGAATATGACATTTGTAAAAAGTCTTTTAAAATCACTTACAATCTCTGTTATTCAATCAATAATTTGTAAAAATCATATCAAATCCACTGTTATTCAAAACATAACTCTTTCTTTTTTAGAAAACCATAAAAAGTGATTTTGGGAGACTTTGATACAATTTTACAAGTGAAAACCAGTTAAAAAAATCACACCTCTCAAGGT